ACCAAATTCCCTTTAAAGAAATCTCCGAAAAAAGAAGTAAAAATGATAAATTTGTTTTAATAAACAGAAAGATAGTCTAATGGGCCTTAAGGATTTTTATTACCAGCCCAAAACCAATCTTACACACGCTCGATTTCTTAACTGGTTTTTGTTGTGGCGGCTGTTTTTTTTTTTCCTCCGACGAACTGCTTAAACCCTAAAAACTACTTTCCTTCCGTCTTGTGTGTCGTAACAATGGAAGAATCTAACATCGAAGAAGGAGAAAACCAAAACAAACTCGAAGTTGCTCCTGCATTGATATCTGTCCATCCATCTCAGAAATCTGTCGCTGTCACTGTCGGCTCGGATCTTCGTGTATTCGATCTTATGTAAGCTCTCATTAGCTCCTTCAACAAAATCAATCCTTTTCAAAGTTTGTTTATTTTCAACGTTTCATGGACTCACAGATTGAATTAGGGTTCTTTCTGGGTTTCAATCGATAATGGGGTTTATGGATTTGTGTTTGACCTGAGAACCCTGAATTGTGTAAGATGATTTTCGGTGAATTTCAGTTTCCTGTGTTAAATCTTTGAACTTGGAACAGAGGAGTGTTTTAGTTATCTATCTTGTTAATAGTTAACCGATTGCGTTGAATGTTTTATCGACAGAGAGAAATGTCCAGTTACTTTGGTGGATGAATCTGATGTGCCTTCTCGTAAAGAATCCATTAGAGCTATTCGCTATAGTGCAAGTGGAAAGCTTTTTGTGTCTGCAGGCGATGACAAGCTCGTTAAGATTTGGTCTGCCGAGTCTTGGCGCTGCCTTATCACCGTGTAAGTTAGTAACAACATATCTTAAGCATTAGAGGCTTCAAGCATTTCACTTCTCTGTTTCTTCAAAATCGACTTTATGCTTACTCGAGTTGTATAGTCTTATATGATAATGTTAATGGCAGATGCTCTGAGAAGAGAGTTAGCGCAGTTGCAATAAGTAGCGATGATTTACATGCTTGCTATGCGGACAAGTTTGGTGTTGTATGGGTGGTTGAGCTGGATGGGATCAATGAGGGTGAAGTTGTAGCTAGTAAGAAAGGTGCATCGCTGCTTTCACATTATTGTAGTATTATTACTAGCCTGGTAAGTTGATGCCGCGCCAAAATAACTTTCTTTTACGGTGTCTCGTTCTTGTTGAATTAGGAAAACGCTGATGTTTTAACTTATGATGTCACTCATTTTAATCTGTTCTTGATCTTAGGAGTATTCCCCAGATGGTCGATATATTCTTAGTGCAGATCGGGACTTTAAAATAAGGGTAAGCTAGTCTAATCCACAAATGTACAATGTCATGCTTTTCTTGTGCGGATTGCTCTTATAGTGATTACTTTTCCCATCACAGGTGACTGTTTTTCCCAAGAAGCCTCTAGAAGGAGCTCATGAAATACAGAGTTTTTGTCTTGGACATACAGAGTAAGTGAGAGTTTAAAGCAACATAAGAAAATATTGTAAACAAAGACTGATTACTTAAGAGCTCATTTAACATTGTCTTAAACCCTCGATAGGTTCATCACTTGCATAGCATTTATCAGCACTCCAGAGCTTACTCAAGGATACCTCATGTCTGGAAGTGGAGATTCAACTGTAAGTGATCTTAAAAGTCTCCATTCATGTATTTTACGACCAGTGACCAATGGCTTGACTCCTTGCTAATGGTGTTAAATTTCAGGTTCGACTGTGGGACATTACATCTGGGTCTCTTCTCGACACATGTGAAGTTAGTACCATGGTAAAAATTTATCACATGGAACGCTTGGTTATCTATCTTCTTCGACATTCGTTAGAGAAGTAATTGGTTCACTTTTTGATTGTTGTTTGTTTATTGAAGGCAGGACATTTAGTTTCGAATGAAACTGAGCCGCCCACCCAAGTCACAGTTACCGATATATGCGGTATCCCAAATTCTTCTTTTGCAGCAGTGGCTATTCAAAGGTAACTCCAATATTTCACCTGCATATCTTTCCTCCTTTAAGATACCAAATGTTTGATTCCCTTTATAATTGTAAAATGCAGCTTTCAAGGAATATTATTGTTAAGCTGTGATTTGTCAGCCCACACTCTCTCTATCACAAAGGTACGACATTATTTCAATACATACTTTGAAATTTGAATATTCTGCAGAACTATCATTTAACCGGGTAACTATCTTGTAGGTGATCAAAATCCCTGGAGAAAGTTTCATTCCCACAAGTATCTCTGTAAGCACATCTACAAAGTTACTATGGATGGTATCAGGAGCCTCGAACCTTCCCGGCTCAAACCATCCTGGTTTTTCAAGGGTTCGGGTCATGTCGTGCACCGATACCGAATCGTTTCCAATCCTTGAAGATGAGCAGATTCCCGGAGGGACAAAACTGTTGGAGCAGTTGCAAGGTAAAGTTGCTATTGAAGAGAGTGTAATGAGTGCTGCAGCAGAAGCTGTGAGAGCAGCAATGTCTAGCTTATTAATGAAGAAGCAATACTCTGAAGAGAAGAGAGAATTCAGAAAAAGAACCAGAAATGATAAGAAAACCACATAATAAATTTGCATTTTCTCAAATTGTCTTTGTAACAGTATCATTATGTTACCGTCATAAGATATTACATATTTATGTTGTTTCTTTGTCATAACAACACAAATAATGAATTTTACAATTTGAGTTTCCCAAAATATTTTCTAAAACCCGATTTAAATGTATTTCGCTTTACAGACTGAAAGCATCGATCTATCACAACAACATGCAGCAAGACAAGTGTGAAGTTAACGTCCACGTGTCAAACAGACATCTGACTAATAGGATCTTAGTTTGAAGATCCAAAAAATACAATAAAAAGAGAATAAATCCCAAGAAAACAAAAACACAAATAACAAAGCAATGGCACATGAACAAGATTCCTCACAAAAGCCAAGAAATCAGAAAGATTTCTCACGTACACATGATGATCAATACGGCGACGTTTTCATTGTCTCCGGTGATGACGTAGCAAGAGATCAAGGCGCTAGTACCTCTCAACCTGATGATCCAACGGTTGTGACGTTGGGATCCGTAGATACGGTTACGATTGGGGAAGCTTTGGAAGCTACTGCTTTGTCACTTGGAGATAAGCCTGTGGACCGTAAAGACGCGGCTGCGATTCAAGCGGCTGAAAATAGAGCCACCGGTGAGTTCAAGACTCAGCCCGGTGGTCTTGCCGCAGCGGCTCAGGCGGCTGCTGCGACTAACGAACGGACGGTCATGGAGGAAGGCAAAGTGACTATTGCAGACATTCTCACGGTAATGACCTATTTATTTATTTATTTCATAAACTATATAGCATATCAAATATAGGAAGAGATTTTTGAATATTGAAATGATGGATCTATGTTTTGCCTGATATGGCAACGAAATTAATTTAGTGGCTAATTTTCGTGACGAATTCTTGGTTCTTAGTGATTGTAAATTTCATATTAGCCAAGACTATATAGATTATTGTAAGTTCCGGTCCAAAATATTCGGAATTTCTAGGTACAACCAAAAATTGTTGGACATGAAATGTGTTTAGTATTCTATTGATAATATGTGATGAATTTTTGTTTTTTTTGTCGCTTATACTAATGTCTTTACTATGAATCAGTTTATATGATTAAGAAAAGACGATTCAATCTATTCAAAGAAGTCCATAAACCGGGACAATTCTTTTTCACTTATTGTATAGATTTTAAAAGTCTAATAAATTGGTGCCTATGGATTGTTTGAGTTGTGTAGGATGCCTCGGAGAAACTTCCAGGAGACAAGGTGGTAACAAGTGAAGATGCCGAGGCGGTGGTTGGAGCGGAACTTAAGAATAGTCCGGAGATGAAGACAACTCCCGGCGGAGTGGCAGACTCCATGTCTGCGGGGGCAAGGCTCAATCAACAACTCTAGCTAAGTGATCTCTTCCTTTGGTCTCTTGACTCCAAATGTTGGGCTCTTAATTAAGTTGTATAGAAACTAGAAAGGAATAAGATAAAATGCTTCCTGATCTAAAAAGTGGCTCTTTTTTCTTATTTGTATACAAATTCATAATTTAAATCATATAATCAATCCTCTCGCAAGAAATTTACTTGGTGCCATCAAATTAAATATGGTTGGCCATTTGTAACTCTATTAACGGTCCCAAGTAATGGATTTTTTTTTCTCAAACTAGAGAATTAACTAGGGTTGAAAAAATCAAAGTAAAGCGCAAACACACAAAATTATTAATTAGAACTAACTAGTAGGCACGAATCACAACAAAAGCTAAAAAACATATACTCCGGTAAGAAATCAAACCAAAGATGAAGAAGTAATGTTCTTCAGAGACACGAGACTTTCAATGTGACTCGAGGATCTAGATCCGGTAATGTTCCAAAATTCCCCGGTGTTTTCATCATGGAGCTTAAATTCCTCGTCTTCAATTCTTTCAATCTTGAATGTTGTGACACTGTTCTTCTTTAGATCATAATAAATCACATAAG